AGGTTTTCCACTAGAATATCGGTTTGCGGTATTTAACCGGTACGGTACAGTTTACCGGTATGGTTAAGTTAACCGATATTCGAAACCAAAGCAGTTTCCCCAAAATACCGATTTTTAAAGGAATTAAAAACATAGTAATCAAAAGATAAAATATATTTTATGTCAAAGGAACACAAAAAGCCATACCAATGGCAAAGCGATGGTTAGTGGAACAGTAGAAAAATCAGCTTCCTCTCGGGCTGAGGTTCTTCTTTGCCGTGAAAACGGATATTATAATAATTCGCTGAGAACCCCGTTCAACCTGATAGTACGGTAATCACCGAATTTAGGGTGAAATACCGGATTTCGGTTAGCGGGCTTTATAAACAGATCATTGGTTAATCGGTGATGGCCAAAATACCGGGTAAAACCGAAAAAACCTGCCCACCGGAACAACCCTACTCCGAAACAGTGCTCATGGTCCTAATTTCCACATAAGGGGACAACGAAAAGTTGAAATCATTAATTTGCCTTAAACATAGACGTTTGTAGGCCTTTCGATTCTGCTTTTCGCCTTGCTCAGGATAACTAACAAAGCGAACCAATACAGCTTGTGGGAGTACCCTGCTTTCACACAAAAATACGAAGAACTTGAAGGGTTGGGAGAGCCTGGATTTTCGGGGAGACCAACTGGCTTCCGCGTGATATGTTACTCTATTACTCTAGAGTAATAATATCGTAGGGTACCATTACTCTGAGTAATTCTATAGGCGCTTTCTCAGGATCACGATTCATTATTCTGTGAATGAAAAGCTCCTTATTCGTCGCGTCTTAACAATAACAACAAGATCCTATCTGCAGCGCTCCGAATACACAAGATCGTATATGCAGCGCTTCGAATACACATGATCCTACCGGAAAAGCGCCGCATACTCGAAAGCTTATCTGCAAAACGCGGGTTTAGGTATGTCTCCGAAGAAGTGCTTTTCACTCGGTATCCGCTCGTTCTACGAACTTAAGGCCTTACATCACAGTTGAGTTTCATCCGGTTTCATCACTAGCTTTAAACATGTATTTTCTGGTTATTTTTATGAGTCAATACGGTTAAGGTAAAAAAAAACTAAGTAATAATTATGTAGGAAGGTTCTTTTCTAAACAAATCAAACAAAGATTAGGTTCCGGAAACATTGGGTTTGTAAAGGAACGACACTTTTTATACTTCAGTCATTTGTCCCAATTATCACCTAACGCGCAAGATTTTAGAAGCTACAATAATTTTGTTTTCATTTGTTCAGCCCAAAATGACACATGCCCTCCAAATAGTTTTGTAGTTACAGAAAGTCTTCTTACTATCTGGGCTGCTGAAGTCTCGCGCGTTTTGTGGGGGAATGACTAGAATACTATGAAAAGTGTCGTTCCTTGACCAAACCCAAAGTTTTTGGAATTAATCTTTCCTTTCATTTTTTAGCGTGCCCTTATGCTTTCAAAACAAAACAAAAACATAAAGGGGGCTTCTATCTCCCACATTTATTTTTCAAAATTCAGTAAAGCCCCTGTGTTAATTAGTAGTCCTTGGTGAACTGAAACAAACAAGCTATTGACCAGTTTTTTATCACTACTTTCTCCGGAGAAATCCTGCGCGTAAACTTAAGAAGAAGATATCCTATAAAAATAGAAGTACACCCTTGGGACCTCTTTAAAGTAAAATTCATGGCATTCTGATATTGTTAATCTGTTAAGCTATACCCTTTGTTGAGAAATATACCGTCAGGTTCCATCCCTACACCTACAGTGGCTCAGAAACTAATTTTATTGACAAATGTACCAAAAATGCATTTATTTGGGAGATAAAAGCCACCTTAAAAGGAGCTTATGCAACTGCTCTTGTGTCCGTCGGTCCGTCCGTCGTGCGTGTAAGAGGAAAGATATGAGCTATAGCCAGAGTTGTGCGTGCGAGCCAGATTTTGGCTAGCGCTGGATCGCGGGCGATTTTTCTGTAGCTCACTTCTGGCTTGCAGCTGCCGAAGTTCTGCGAACCAGCCTGGCTCACGCGTTAAGCGCTGGCTCGCAGAGTTGACCGAAAAATTGGAGTACTGAGAACGACGCGAGCCAGGCGCGAGCCAGCGAATCGGAGTCACGACAGCCATACTCGAGCGCTGGTCGACAACGGCGACGACGACAAAAGTCAACTTGGCGAAGTACAGAACACACGGCTGCAGCTTGAGTCAGCACTGTATGCTCACCAAGAACTACTGTTCGTAACATACAAAGGGTTACAAGAACTACTCTTCGTAACATACAAAGGGTTACAAGAACTACTCTTCGTAACATACAAAGGGTTTTGAATCTGTGTAATACAAACAAATCCTTTGTATTACGAGGGCTCGGCTTTGCAAAATGAAGAGCGCGCGTCTGTTCACAAACTGGTGCTCTTTGTAACACGTATAAAATCAGTTTGAAAACATGGTGGTTCCACATCCTTTGTACGTTACTAACCCAATTCTTCGTAAGATGAAAACCACTCTTTGTAAATAACTTTATATTAGGGGCGAGATAAAATCCACTGACTATCGGGGTGCTGTGATTTAAATTGGATTGCCTACATAAGGCGCCTCGCCGCCCGGCTCAGCACCACGAGCCAGCCCCTGGCTCACACTAAGCGAGCCAAGGCCTGGCAGTAGGCATAAATCGTGTCCATCATATTTGTAAAGTACTGCAACACCTGATTAAAAATAGGCCCTCTATGTATAATGATAGACATAGTCCTTTTCGTTTTAAAGTGTTGATGAGACTCATATTTTGGCGAGAGGTGCAGCCACACTACATAGCTACTTATTAGCGTTGGCATGAGTGAGTACGAAAGTAGAGAAGGAGAATTGTAATCACCAAATGAGAAAAAGCCTACCAGTAGGTCAGTTGCTGTGCCGTGGCGTTCAAACTCTGTCGTAAGGCCTATTAGCCTTCGGAGACACGCAAGCAGAGGCTGTGTGCGGCTGAGGAACACCAATTGCGACCACAGACACGAATACACGCCCAAACCAAAACGAGCAAGAACTGGGCTTTTGAATACAGACCCAGATAGACAGGCGTCAGCGATGGCTAAGGTCAGTACGTTGATACTGACAAACATTCCAACCTGGAAGGAAATACAATGTTTAACATTGTGAAGAAGCATACGTAACCACTATTGAGAAGCGGCAGCGCTACCCACTGCGCTACTGCTCCGCTGCGGTCCAGCTAGCACCAATGGGACAGGCGGGGCAGCGGCCGGCTGAGTTCGGAAGCAGTCTGTCAGGAAATGCGATCCGTGCGTGCAGCATGGAGGACGGCCCGCGTAACATAAGTGTCAAGTAGTCGGGCCTGTGCCTATCAATCGAATGAGAGGTGATCCGCACGTAACTATTGAAATGGACTCGGTGACTTCGACTGTGGGCACACGGACCAGTCGAAGCGAGCCGAATGGGCTTTCGTAGGTGTGGAGCGGTTGCTTTTCTGCTCAGCGCCAGCCGCTACCCAGTCGCCTATGCTTCCCATGGTGGCGCGAGCCGCGCACCCGGCGAGCCACCGGTGGCTCGAGAGCCGCGCGTTTGAGGCCTGCTGTAAAAAATGTTCTGAAATTTAAGACCAAAATATCTCTTAAATTTAATAAAAAATTTCAGTTGTTCTTAAACGTAATGACAGATTATGATATTTAAGAAGTTTTCTTAATTTTGTAAACCAGATTATGAAGATTCTGATAAAATTTCGCAATTGAACTTAAGGGTGATTAAATTTCATAGCAAGTTTTTTAAATTTAACAGATTTCCTTAGTTTTGATAAAATTGTTTCGAAAAGTCACACCTATTCTTGCTCTTTATACTAGCATTCAGAACACTTCTTAAAAGTCATGCAGCTTTTGACCACTGAAAATAGAATTCCGTCGTTCAATATAGCATTAGATGGACAACATCGAATTTAGATAGGCGAAATGTAGCTATGCCAGAGGCAAATGTCAGAAACACAAGTTATGCAGTCCAACCAAGCACATAGCTACTCTCGGAATGCCCCAAGACGGAGCGCCGCATAAAGTCGGGTGCGAGTGTCCCCTTGACAGGTATGTCCTGACAGCCGCGCGGTCTAAGGCGTCAGGATCCGAACCAAAAGGTCCGAGGAGCGAATCCACCCAGGTAAGTTAAGGTAAACATCTATTATGTGTACAAAGTTGGGTTTGAACATCTATCAGTAGGGAAAAGAACTAACTATTTTCTAGATTGGCGTTAGGCTGGAAAAGTAAAGAATTTTTGTCGTTTCATAACACGTTCTTAATTTTCAAAACATGTTCTTAATTTGCATAAAACATTTGTTCTTAAATTGAAGAGCAAATGTGTTTTGTAAATTGCTTCCACACGTGTTCGACGATGAATTTATTTTCAGTGGCGTTTCCCACACGGGAATGACCTCAAAACAAGTAAATGTTTTCCCGCCTCAGATATTTCGATGTCTGTGGACCTGTCCTGTGGACCAAAATTTGTGACTTTTGAGGTCAACTCTGCCTTTTGACCGACTCGGGTGTCAGCGCCGCAGATCTAGATAGATGTATGCAGTGTTAAAGATTTCTTGGGATTTCCCGAAGATTCGATCTAACCTCCTACTAGAAATTCCTAGCGGACTCCATACTTAGTTGCCATGTCGTAAAATAGCTCTTGAAGGTAGCGAGTTTTTGGTCATGTTTGTGTTTTAAAGCTAAACTCGTCACGTAGGTTTTGCAGAGTCCTTTGGGAAATCCCGAAGGACTTTGGCAGTACCCACTTTTCACGAGTGTTCCTCCGTGAATCCCAGGTTTTTTATCTAACAGTATACCAGGCGCGTCGCAGCGTCTTGGCCCAGCAGTCGGACGACGGGTGCGTGTGTCTTGTTGGCACCTAAGCTTTCAAAAATAGTTTGAACCCTTTCTGAGGAGCCAGAAGCCATAGAAAATGACCAATATGTGATAATTTTGAAAAGAAAATTCCTAAGGTGGCCTTTTTAGCCCGCCCTTCTGCTTTTAAAAAAGCATTAAAGCGGGCTTATGCAACCGCTCTCGTGTCTGTCTGTCTGTCCGTCTGTCTGTCGTCCGTGTAAGAGGAAGGAGATGAGCTAGAGGTCTAAAAATTTCAGGGTATCTTAGGGGTCACTCCTGGACAACGAAACGCCTGGTGCAAATCCTGGCAACCACCCCTAAGGGGGTGGAAGGGGGTAACAAAGAAATAGGGGTTGGTCCAAAAAGTAGAAAATCAAATATTTTTTATGGTCTCCGATGGGGTAACTCGTGAAAGTAGAGCCCTTGGGCGAAAATTTTGTCCGTTTGACTATATCTTGCACCGTTTGGGCGCTAGAGTGCTTTTTTCGACGAAAATACGGTGAAAATGACCACGTTGCACATAAAGACGTACAAGGAGGCGTCCAATCGTAAAATGTCAGAGGGAGTACCCCCCCCAAAACAACACATTCTGAATCAGAAACTACCCTCGGATTTGCCGTATCTTTTACTGTTTCGGCCCTAGAGGTGGATATATTGAAAACAATAGCAGAAAGTCAAGTTTTAGGACTGTTTGACAA